TTTGGGTTTAGGGGTTTTGGGTTGAGGGGTCTAGGGTTTAGGGGCTTAGGGTTTACGGTTTAGGGGTTAAGGGCTTTAGGGTATTGACATAGTCTGCAACCCAACCTTCACCCCACATCAACAACCCCCAATCCCCCAAACCCATTTTTCAAAGAATCATTCAAAACAACTCCCTGAACCAACTAAGCCACAACAAAAGCCATGGACAGTTTCAACAAAAACAAACTCTGCACGAAGCCTGAAGCCCTGAACCCCGAATCGTAAATCCTGAAAACCCCTGGTCGGAAGCGCAGCGCCTTTAAGATGATATAGACGTCTTAACAGTAAGAACGGGGTTCCTCTAAATTGGAGCTTTCAAAAGGAGGTCTACGAGGGTTCTATAATAAATAAGGGGTTTAGGGTTTGGGCATATGGGCATTATGAATAAAAACTGGGTTTGGTAAACTATAGATCCAACAAAAAACCCTGAGGAATAATATTGGTAGTTCTTCAGGCTTCTTTGTTAGTATTGTTGGGTAGGGAACTTCTTCGTATGATCCCTCGCCTGGGTAACTAACCTCATGCCTGCTAACGCCTAGACCCTAAACCCCAAAAACCCTCGGCTAGCAACGAACCCCTCAAAAAGGCAGAGCTGCTTGGCCCGAAACTCGGGAAGCTTGGCGTGTGCTGCGCATTCTTCTCATCATCATAGCGCTCGCCACGAATGAAACTCTCTGCCATGGAAGCTGGAAGGGCCGGGCTCATGGCATGGCCCGGGAAGATTAAAAAGTTGCAAGCAAAGCAACCCTAAACCCTAGACTCTAGACCTGTCACTGTCGATGACTGGAAAAGAGTCTGCGCTGTAGTTGCAGTGAGAAGATGTCTAACAGCCCAGCGGTTGATGGACTCTACACCCTAGACTTTACACCCTAAGCCCCTAAACCCTAAACCCTAAACCCCAAACCCCAAATTCTAATCCTAAACCCTAGATAAACCTCGGTCTTCTGAACCTGGAATCTCGAGAATACCGCCGGTGTCGACCTGATCTCAGGGGACTCTATACCCCGTGAACTCAGAGCCTGAGACTCATTGCGAGAAGAAAGGCTTTTTATTTTGAATACTACTATCAGTATTGGTCGTACTCCTACAACTACTACTAGTACCAGTCGTAGTGCCACTACTGCTACTACCACCACCACCGCCATCACCAGCACCACCACC